GGCTCTCCGATTACAAAGTCCGAGCCGTTATCCATTACACTATCCGAACGTCCAAGCTTATAGCACCTGGTATTCCGAAGTGGTCACCCATCTAGACACTGACCAGGTTCAACGTTGCTTAACTTCGGTGTTTGGATAATAACCGGTTTTTCAACGTGACATGGCTGTAAGCGAACGAAGCAGTTTCCGTACTTCCTAACAAAACATATGATACACAAACGGTTTAAATTTCGTCGATTACTCGTTTTAAAAGAAGATTTCTATCCTTTCTTTTTATTGCAGAATATTTTTACACCTGTTAGCCCCCACCACTTATTTAATTTCACGAAATTTCGAGAAATTCTTTTTGTAGAGCTTAATGTGACTATCAGTTATAAGGACAAGTCGCTGGAGAATATAAATAATCAGTTTTCTTTTGTCAGGCTCTCAGTTATAAAATATCTTCTTGGAATCTTAAAATAAAAAATGCACTAAAATTAAAACGTTATTTAAATAGAAAAGCTTTTAATTGCTTTTATGAATATATATATATAATATGACACTAAATTTTCTATGAATAATGAATTTTTACAAGAACTGTTTTCATTTTTAAAAAATTAATTGTAATTATTGTAAACTTTAAATTTAAAAAAAAATTCTGTATTAATTTGTAGCGCTTAGATGATATTGTTCTTAAGTCAAAACTATATTTACCAATCATAAATGATGTACAGTGGAGTAATGGATAGCGGTCGGATTGGGTCCGAGTTCGAATTTCAGTCTGATCCATTACATTCAGTTACGTGCTAATACTCTTGAAAAAAGTATGAATCCTCTTCTTCTCCCCGCCCCCAAGCTCTGGGTAAATAGCAGGAAATACTTGGCTCTATAGCCTTGGGTGGCAACACGTCTAGGTGAATGAAAAACTCTGAATTCAAAACTGGCCTGGAGATGATTGGGCTCTGTCAGGCTATCTTCTACTGCGGCTGCAGTACATATAGTGTCCCTACGACCAACGGGCCAGGGGATAAAAAAAAGGGGAAAATATTACTACAATTCAGCAATGCCCAGTATTTGAAAAAGAACTGTGATTTTTTTTGCGCGTATAAACGCACCGATTTTTGTAAATACGGACGTACATATACAACATTTTAAGAAAATAAGAGCAGTAACTATAATCGTGTCTCCCGGTGGAATAATGGATAGCGGCTCGGATTGAGGAATCGGAGTGCAGAGTTCGAATTCCAGTCGAATCCATTATATTTACTTACGTGCTAATAGCCTCTTCTTATCCCCACAGCTATGAGTAAAGCAGGAAAGACCAGGCTCTATAGCCTTGGATGGCAACTGGTCTACAGCAGAAAGAAATGGCAACCTTCTGCGGAAAAAAAATCTGCCTCGTCAGTCATGTATCACGCATGGCGTATAAATGACTGAACTATAATAAATTTAAAATCTATTGGCAATTTTCTAATATTTCGTCAACACACGTCTTCGTCAGTAAGTCTATAAAGTCAAATTACCTAAAATTTCAATAAAATAGTAGAATACATAGAATTTTTTCTTAAATTTCTAAGATTACTGGGTAGTTAAAAAAATTATATATAAAAAGCGTGTTCTAATATGACATGGCCTTGAGCCAACAAAGTAGTTTCCTTACTTCCGAACAAAACATGATACGCCAACAGTTTAAACTTCGACATTTGTTTCAAAAGAAGACTTCTATCGTTTCATTTTATTGCAGAATAATTTCCAATTGAATAAGATTTTCTCTTATGCCATGTATTTTCAGGACGTAGATCATGGCTTTGAATCTGAACTCCGTTCGTTGATTTCTTTTTTTCTGCGCTGATAGTCGGTATACTAACTGCGCTTATTTAAATAAGCAATAATTCAGAAGACGTCATAATAATAAAAATTATGTATTCAGGTTGAAAGTAGAAAATACACCTCCACGTAATAAACTATCCATATCGTATACAAGGTCTGGCCAAAAACTTTCGGAATTTGGTGCTATAAAAAGCAAAACTACAACATATCAATTTGGCTTTTATTCTCCTTCGAAGTAATCCCCTTCTGAAGTCAGAGAATTTTTATCCAGCGTCATTTCCATTGATGGAAGCAGTTTTGGGATAGCGAGCATCTACATCATGAATTGGATTTCCTCGATGTCTTGAAATGTTATTCCTTTCAATTCTGGATTTGATTTTTGGAAAGAGGAAAAAGTCGCAAGGGGCGACATCTGAGGAATATTGTGGTTGTCCGATCGTGGGAATGTTGTACTTGACCAAAAACTGCTGCACTGATGGAAACTCTGTGGTCTCGGGAGAAGACCACACTCTACAAACTTTACTTTAAAGCAATTCTATAAACAACAGAACGTTATAACTTTAAGGTCAGTCTACGCCAATTGGCTTCACTTCGCGTAATTTAGCTACGTTACTATAGCAACAGTCCCAATACTTACAGATAGAAACTTGTACATTTCTCTCTTTGCATGTATCATATTTCTTTATGAGGTGAGGGATCATACCTCGCAACAGCTTCCCGTCTTTTGTTGCTCTCAGCAATACTTTCTCTTTTATGTTCTTTGTTGTTGTTGTATCTGTTCCTTCATTCATTCATTTTCTTAAACTTCTCGGCTAGGTTTCTTTCTTTTGCTTTTTTTCTTGTGGTTGTTAAATTCTCCAAGCCTTCTTTCCCCATTATATGCCAAAGAAATCTAGCTTTATTGCTCTGAATAATCTTCAGTCGTTCTATGTTTTATTTCTTATTTTCTAAGTTTCTGCATTAATGCAGTGCTGTATTTCAAACCCAAATTGTAAACCATTTTTGTGAAACAATCGGTGGAGGCAACACTTACCGCAGGTCTTTCTTCTTACAGTGTGGCAATCGGTTCCAAGGGAGATAATCCTCTTCACGCCGTAATCGTAAGCTGAAAATTGTCGTAATTCTTCTTTGGGTGAGTAGTGGAGAGGTTACCTATTGCCTTTTGCACGGATTTTATCGATACGCCATCTCTACTTAACTAGCCGTTGACACTTGGCTTTCCACTGCCTTTTGATAGTTATTTTCTTCCTCCAGGGTTGATAAGTACTTTCCTTATCGACACTAAAAGTGGAGTCGGAGATCCAGTTTAGTCGCTTACTATCTGACCAAAATTAATTCTTTCTCGACTTTGTAAACAAGAGTTTAGACGGGTTTTCCACATCTCTAACGGTCAACCACCATTGGTTGCAAGATATTTTTAGATTAAATATCAGACAGGTGCTAGTTAAGTTTTAAAACTTAGATATCAGACAGGAGTAAGTGAGGTTTTAAAGATTATATATCAGTCTGGTGCTAGTGAGATTTTAAAGATTAGGTATCGGAATGGTGGTAGTGAAGTTTTAAAATTTAGATATCAGACAGGTGAAAGTGGGGTTTTAAAGATTAAATATCAGAATGGTGCAAGTGAGGTTCTAAAGATTAAAGACTAGTGGTAGTGAGGTTTTAAAGTGTAATACAGTTTGCACATCACCGACATTACCATTTAAACCACAGGCGGACGTGCTATATCCCTGTGAGATGACACATTAAGATCCGGGAGGTTTTCTATTGGAGTCTCCCCTTAGGGAGTAAGTTAAGCCGGTTATAGATATTTGTCGCTCATTCAAAGGAGTATTCCTACTTTATAAATATGTAATAAATATAAACCATTTTCTAATAAAATCAATGAAAGGAACAAAGTAAGATTTTTTTTTCACGTTTATTCACTTGAATGGAGATGACTATTGCTCAAAAGTTCAACCTTGAAAAGAATGTCAACAATTTTTCTTACAATCTTCCTTTTTCTACTGAAATAGCATCAGTACGCTTGACATTGAAGGCACATTTTTTTGGATAAGGCGGTTCCATTTTTGTCTAACTTAGGCAAGGCACTGTTTAACTCCCACCCCCTGGCGTCAGTTTAAATTGATGCCTTTTTTACCACATATCCAGACTCGAATTAATAATACATCGACGCAGTTGTATGTCCACCGGAGACGAGAATATAGAGTCATTGTGTACTCCATGATCTTGTCAATGACTCCATAGAATGTGTTACGCCAGGTCTACATACGGTTTTGAATTCATAGTTGTCTTTCGCCTAGACTTGTTACCATCCTGCTATTTATCACATAGCTGGGGTGGGGTGTGACTGATTCATGCCTTCTCTATGGGAATTTATGCGAACGGGAATATAACAAACGAGTTTTGCCGATTTCAAGTTGCGAGATTTCTATCATCACATCCAAGTGTATATAATATGCAATAATTATAGATAATATTTTTGGGTGGGGAAAATTTCATTGAACTATGTTGGAAATGTTTTTATCTGAAATCAAGAAAGTACAAACTTAACGCAAAATAGTGACAGTATATGAAAAAAAAAAAAAAAAAGATAAAAAAAAAGAAAAAGGGACGCCAATTTAGAGCGACGTCAGGAGAAGGCCAGAGATATCGCCAGAATAAATATTGATGTAAAAGTTTATAATAAAATTATTTAATTAAAGAAAAACAATCTCAGAAATTCTATTTTTGTTCATTTTAAAATTCTTAGCATAATATAAAGTTGTTCGGAAAATAATGTCCGATTTTAGAAGAAACCTTTTAATTGTGTTCGTATTATATTATTAGAATAGTTGTAAAAAAATATATATTCAGTCAGTTATGTGCCATGCGTGATACAGGCTTGGGCGATCATGTACCTGACTGGTGAGGCAGGTTTTTCCCGCAGTAGGTTGCCATTTCTTTCTGCGGTACACCAGTTGCCATCCAAGACTATAGAACCCGGTCTGTCCGGTTATTTACTCATAGCTGATGAGTGGGGGAGAAGAAGAGGATTTATACCTTTCCCAAAGGTATTAGCACGTAAGTGAATGTAATGTATCCTACTGGAATTCGAACCCGGCTCTCCGATTCCTCACCCTGAGCCGCTATCCATTACACTACCGACCCTCAAAAAATAAATTATTCATTCTCAATGGTTAAAGTTGATTACGGTTACATAAACGTTAAAACACCGGTTGTCGTATGATCACTGAAATTAAGCAACGTCGAGCCTGGTCAGTACTTAGATGGGTGACCGATTGGAAATACTAGATACTGTAAGCTTGGATGTGCTGGTGGTTAAATGGGTAATGGCTCGGAATTGTTAAACTGAGAGCCAAGCCCCGATTTCCGTTGGGTTCTTTATATTGACTTGCGTGTAAATACCATTTGGAAAGGTATGACTACAACTCTACTCCCCCAGTTATGGATTAATTAGTAAGTCTTGTATCACTAAAACCATTATTATTTAAAAATAGAATAAAATTGCATACAAATTATTTAGATTTCGGCATTAAATAATCTATAAATGTTGATATGCCGCTAAACAAAAGCAACCAAACAACCAACCAACCATCGATTAAAGTGTTCTCTTTGTTAATTTTCTATCAATCCTCTTCAGAATTTAACTTAAACATTATATACCCTTCATCTTGAACGTGAAAAAGCAAGAGACGTGTTTACTTTATTGCATGAGTTCAAGCATGATCATAATGCTTCGAAAACTGCTGCCAACATTAACAGACCATCGGGTGAAGAATCCACTCGAGATTGGACAGTACGGCGCTGGTTTTTGAGGTTTCACTGTAGGGTCATAGTGGTAGAGGGCGTCCGTCTGTAATTGACAATAAACATTTGAAAGAACTAGTCGAACGAAACTCTACTCAAAGTGTCAGAGAAATGTCTCAGATAATGGGTGTCGTCGTTTTGACAATATCTTATTGACTCTAGATAATTGGTGAGGGGAAGAAACCCAATAAATGGGTTACGTACAAAACTTAGTGAACGTCAAAGAGTTTGACTTTTTGAAGTGTGTTTGATGCTGCATCTGCAAAATTCGAATGATCCATTTCTTGACCGAATAGTGAATTGTAACGAGAAATGAATCCTTTATAACAATCGTAAAATGGCTTGATCATGACAAAGAAGCCAAACATATTCCCAAACCGAAATTGCACCAACTGAAGATTATGGTGACAGTCTGGTGGTCTGCGATTAGCGTTATACATTACAACTTTCTGGAATTTAACCAGAACATCATTTCCAAAGTTTATTGTCAGCAAATGGATGAAATCCACATTCAGTTAAGCAAAATACGACCAGCACTGCTTAATCGAGGAGGACTAATTCTGCTTCATGGCAATGCATGGTCAGATATTAACAGGATAGCAATGCAGAAGCTCACCACCTTGGGATACGAGACTTTGCAACATTCACCATTTTCTCGTAATCTTTCGCCTACTATCACTTTTTCAAGCATCTTGACAATTTTTTAAGCTAAAAGACATTCCGTTGCAAAGAAACAGCATTCAAAATTTTCTTGGCGTCCAGAACTTTAAAGTTTTATTGTAACTTTGTAAATCGATGTTCATGATTCTTATTTTTACTGATTTAAACAATGTTTAAATGCATTAATACATTAAATCCATTAGTTTAGAAATAAAATTATTCTAAAATCGGATATTATTTTATTTCCGAAGAATCTAATAAAAAACCTCAGTGACAAATTTAGATTTCCAACTTTTTCATTTTGTTTTATTTATTTTATTTATTTTTAAAAAAAATAATTTCACTCAAATCAAGGCAATAGTGCCAGTAAAAGTGCAGGGGTTACTGGGAGTCCAAAAGAATGAGAAGACCTTAGTGAGGAGAAAGATAGTAAGATTGTAGGTGGCTGGAAAGCAAGAAACGGGAAGAGAGCTCCATATGCGAGGAGTGAAAGTGAAAAAAAAACTATTAGAATAGAATTTATGGTTACATCTAGTTATTTTACCATTAAAAGGATGAGACCTAATTGCCAATATAGTAGTACATTTAGATTCATGCAGTTGAGGTACCAAAGATGAGAGCTCATTGATTTTGTGTCTTTGTACCAAATCTCTCTTTCTCTCTCTCTCTCTCTCTCTCTCTCTCTCACACACACACACACCCACCCACACACACACACACACACACGTACGCGCATATATGCAGGCACGCACACGCACATAAATACTGCTGGAAAGCTCGAACAAAATATGCTAATATCGATGCAGTTCAGGTAGCACACGCGTGCACGTCCCATGAAAACATTCTAATACATAACCGTTGTTTCTTAAAAAAAAGTAAAGACAAGTAATAAAAAGAGAGAGTAAAGAGTAAACAAAAGAAGAGGAGGAAGGAGAGGGAAGGAGAGAAGAGAGAGAGAGAGAGAGAAAGAAAGAAAGAAAGAAAGAAAAAAAAATGAATAGAGAGAGAGAGAGAGAGAGAGAGAGAGAGAGAAAGAAAGGGTGGAAACAGGAAGATGAAGAAAAAGAAGTTAGTGAACTGTCGATCAAATTTTGTACGTATTTTCATTTTAAAGTTTACGAGGCGCAAAACTTATATAGAAATGATTTAAAAATGAATCACGATCATACTCACCACCCCACCACCACTTAATCATCATCACCATCAATAAAAACAACCCCAGTTTTTAGCACACATTCTTGTTGTTTGTCGCCCAGCGTCCTAGAGACGTGCCCTGAATTAAGTATTGTCGGGCATCCGCTGTTGATGGCGCCCGGACTTGTAAAAGATAAACGCAGCAAGCAATCAACATGACTGAGTAAATATCAGGGCAAATGCCACCTGGGTTCGAGATTGACACCAGGTAAGTAAAGGGCATAGACGCTTATCTTTTTTTTTAACTGAACCTCGTGGCTACGGTACTGAATTTATATCTCACTCATGCATAAAGTCACTGTAAATTTTTAAAAGCGCTGTCAATTGTCGATGTTTATAGCAACGAATAGACTATATTTTAACGATATACTGATCTTCATTTTCTATGTGTGATGTCTCTTCAAAACGTAAGCAATCATGGCTCTCCACAAGTTCCTGTCCTTTGTAACTCTTAATAAATTTTGTCTTTTTGTTATCTCCGCTAAACCTTATTCCGCCTCCCATTTGATCAAACTCACTAAGTAGATTATACGTTGTTTTCCTCTGTCCCTCTTGCTTTCAATCTGTCCTGTGAGTATCAGATTTTCCAAGCCCTCTTTCCTCATTATGTGCCCTAGAAATTTCCATTATCCCTTCTTGATGTTACGTATAAGTTTCCTTTTTGTTTCTATTTTCTCTAAAACTTCGTATTGCCTATGCTGTACTCAGCGCCCTTTGTAGAACAACATTTCTCTTGCTATAAAGCTTCAGGTTGCTTCATTGTCCAGTATTCACTGCTATATAAGACGACTGATATTAAGTAACAGTTAAGTACTCTTTTCTTTGTTTCTAACGATTTTTCCTGTTTCTTAATACTCTGCTTAGCTTTTGAAAGGCATATTTGGCTATCCCAATGCGCCTTTGGATTTCAGTGTCGCTATTATCGTCTTCTGTTAAAACACTTTTCGCTTTCCTTACGCTGATCTGCTCTATCTAAAGACGTATGTATCACGATTAATCTGATTAAAATGTTGATTCTTGGAAGCGAACGAAACAAATGATATCTAAGGAAAGGATGATTTTTTTATAGAAGCAGTAATTCCCTTTTCCTATATCTTTTGTGATTTTTCATTTACTAGTGTTCATTCTATACAAGGCCAATGATTCATTCTCAGTAGAAGGTTACTGAAGGGGTTTGTTGTTTGTGCAGTAAGATTAAGAGGCGTAGCTTAGGATGTGGGGAAGATTACGTCTAACTCCAGGCTTGAATTGGTTGAGATTGGGAATCGCTTCCATAAAGTAACGGTCGTGGGAAGAAGCTGTTTGAGCGGAACTCACTCTCTACTAATGGAATAAGAAATAAATAAAGGGTTATTGCCTTAGTGTACGCGGGCTTTAGCTGTGATACTTAGAGTAGGTGGAACTAAGGAATGTAGCTCGTCTGAACATTTTTCATGAGTACAGTAGATTCATAAAAGATTTATTTGTGACTATGAAATCATTTACGTTTTCCTAAAGATTAATTTTGATAGCTTAATTGTATATTTTCAACTAAAAGTTAAGTTAAAAATCAAGTACGAAAGGGCAACCGATTTTTATAGTGTCGACCGAAATAATTGAGTCTGCTCAATTCTTAATATAATTGGATGACAGAAAATATATACATGTCTAGGGTTTCTATTCTGACTTTTTTTTTTAAATCGATCGACTCGTCTATTCTTCTGTTTCGTTCAGGTGATTCATTTTGCGACCTGCTTTCTTAGATAAAAGTTATTTGGGACTGATTTGAATGTTTCCTACACAAAAACATGATTCCCCGTCATTTTCACCCTTTCAACAGACACGTAAACATACACACTTGGACATACCTGTAGAGTGTTACTTAGCAAACCTTACTTGTTCTTTTATTGCTTGTGTAGTGAATTCTATTACCATAAGGTATGCTACAAGATGGCCTGGTGCCAGACTGAGAAAGTAATTAGTAATCAACTATGCAGGCGCATTCTGGAGAGCGAACTTTAGTATAATATATTCTGTTGACAAATTACCTAATATAGTAGGGTTCCCTACTCACTAGTACATTGGTAAACTTGTCATAGTGCAATGATTTGTAAAGTAATATATATATATATATATATATATATATATATATATATATATATATATATATATATATATATATATATATATATATATATATATATATGTATATAGAGAGAGAGAGAGAGAGAGAGAGAGAGAGAGAGAGTTACGTACGTATGTTAAGAAATAATAAAGAAGGGTTTAATTCAGTGTATTTTGAAGAAAAAAATGTCACTCCCAAATTTGTAAAAATTATATAAGCATAATAGCACTATGACTTTCTGGAGCCTTCTAGAACTTTATGGAATCTTCTAGGACTTGTTTTTGCTTATTTGTTAGTTTGTATGTTATACTATAGCTATAAAATGTTAATTGAATCATTATCAAATTGAAGAATAAAGCGCCTGAAATATGTTGATTTTTTTATGGTAAAATCGAATTTTCGCTTCGTGGGTGAGCTTTTTCAAGAACTAAAACAAATTAATGCCTTATTCATTACTTTTGAACAAAGGTTCATCGATTTACTACACAGAAACATAGGCTGACAAAAATCATAAGTAATATATATATATATATATA